TGAATTCACGCTCCCAGCTTCAAGAGCGCCCTTCTCCGACTTCAAGTCACGCTTTTGCACTAGCCGGTGGCGATGTCAGGGTAGCTAGCGGTTCGGGAAGATCGCTCCGGAAGCTTGGGGCGTAATTCATAGTGGGAAGACCCCGCCCACCTGTTGATTTTCCTCCTACGTCCAGTTTTCACTGTTTTCGTGCTCTTCAATGTGAACTTTCGGATTCAGCACAGCGAATAGGTCCGGATAAGCGCAAAATATCAAGATCAACTTTCTGTCCGGACACTGCCTCTAAGTTTGTCCAACTATGGCGCAATTAGTGTGCAAGACAGAGGCATCAAAACTACAGCGTCAACCAACTTTATCCTTTGGAGGATTAGGAAATAAGTAAAACTTACGGAATAAGAGTGGAGAGCTCGGGGGCCATATAAATGAATTTGTGTTTGTAGTTCTTCGCCGTTTCAAACTCTACATATTTGATATCACGCTGCGAAGCCACGGCGGCATCCTGTAAAAGTTTGCCACTATAAACGAAGAGCGTTTCACCACCAAAAACATACCCTGAGCTTTCGTGCTAGAGTGACTGGAATCACATGGTCATTTTCAGCATGCAACATAAGTATAGGACATGTTATACTGAAAATTACATCTAAATGTGAAAAGAAAAATCGAGACACAGCACTTACTTTGGAATTCGCTTATCCGAGATCATATCTAACCCTGTCCTTCTGAGAGGCTCCAAGATACACTTACGCAGCAAATCATCAGACATCCAGCGTAAAGGCTGAAAGTACTCATGGAACCGATTAATCAGTCAGATCAAAGATAACTTACTATGCCCAGTACGTGCCCCATTATAGCGTCTCCAAGATTGTTGAATGGCGACTCGAGGACAAGACCTTCAGGAGGATTACCTTCTACACAGAGATTTTTCACAAGATGGACGGCAACGCTAAATATATGCATATAATCGAAGAGAATAGCAAATAGAGGCTAAAACGCACATACCCAGTCCCCATAGAGTGGCCCCATATTATGACGGTATTATTACCGCAATGCTGTTTCACATACTCGTAAACGAGGAGACTATCATTGACTAGTCCTTTCTCCGACGGATCGCCGTCTGAGTCGCCGTATCCTATGATATACCATCATTAACGAACAAGAAGCTCAGGGACCAAGAACAAAACTGCGAGATCAATGGAAAAAATAAAATAGAAGAACGTACCCCGATAATCAAACGCTACCACATGATATTCAAGTTTGTTCAAAACATTGTATAACTCAACTCGATGTCCGATAGTCCTAAAGAAATTGTAAGCCTTTGCTTATTATAGAAGGAGACGGTCTTCTCACCTATCAAAAGAATTTCCATGCAGATATACTACGATAGGGTGTTTCTCATCAGATAAAGATTCTTCGATGTCTTCATCTTGTGGATGGATCCCTTTCTCACGATATTTGTAAGAAAGCGATCTTGGCAGCATGTGCCTAAAAGCGATAAATTGAACTGAACAGGCCGCAAAATGCTAGCAAAGAGTATAAGAAAAGTATTTGAAACTCCGATAAAGAAACTTGTTTCGTACCATACACCCACGTTGCCTTCGTCACCTCGGAGATAAAAAGCTCTACCCAAAGAGTTAACGTTATTAGCGGAAACATCAGAATAGTCGGTCATGGGTATTCTTCCTGAAAAATAAAAGCAACTCGCTAACGATAGTGATCAGAAAAGTGGAGGAAGAGGTGACATAAAGTTATAGTATGTTAAAGTTTATATCAGGTT